GCCGCCCCTCTCCGCCCGGCCCTGGAGGCGGGACTCGCGCCCAGCGCTGCCGCGCCCGCCCCGCCCCGGGAGCCGGAGGGCCTGTCACTGCCCCGCCGGGCCACGGGCAGGCCAGGCTCTTCGGGCAGACGTGACCTCTGCCCTTGGCAAAGTCGCTCTTTGCAAGCCTGCGGCCACACAGGCATCGGGAGAGCCTGCTGCGCTGATCTGCTCTCCGAAGTAGAAAAGAAGCGAAAGCAACAAGAGACCTGCGAAATGTTTGGGAGACAACGAGTAGAGACAGGAGGGGAGAGGCAGGCTTCTGGTTACACTTTAGCATCTCTTCCACTGTGGCGAACACAGCAGCAACATGGTCAGCCACTGCCTGAAGAAGGGTGTTTGCCGAAAGCTTGTAAAGAACTTTCCCCAACCATTTAGTTGGTCTCATACAAGACACTGCATGTACCCAAAGAACCTGAGGCCCCTTCCAAGCCTAACATCTATGAACCTTGCCTGCCTATGTCCTTAGAGCAACAGTTCCCAACCCCGGGTCGCCACCCAAATGAGGGTCACAGGGCAATGCTGGTGGCGCTGCAGAGAAAAGAGGAGCTCCACGGCCAGTGCAGCGGGGTGCGGGAAAAAAAGGTTGGGAACCGCTGCCTTAGACCAACCCGGCTACAACCAAGTCCCCTTGGTGACAGTCTCCTGCCAGCTCGCCCCCCACCCCGGCCTTGCTCCCCTCACCTGGGCAGTCCCACACTGGACTGTCTCACCTGTTCTCCAGTCCCCAGCTCCACGATTTCTGCAGCAGCGTCTCTTCTGAGTAAGGGGTACTCCCACAACACTGATGATTTTGCAGGTCCCTTCCTGTCCTTCAGTTCTATGACTGCACAGCAGAAACTCCTTTGTCAGCACAGTCCCAACCTGCTTGAGACTCAGGCCTCCCCTGGGATCTCAGCCCTGTGCTGCTTCCCAAGATGAGGTCCTATCTGCTCCATATTCATTTGAAATCCCTGACTCCAGCATTGCAACTTAACTGGAAAATTTCCCCTTGCACAGCCATCCTGTGTCTGAGACCCCTCCCACATAACCTCCCTTTCTACACTAGTCCCACTACCAAACACCGTCCTGCCTGGAAGCCTTTAACCCAAAACTACCACCTCCCTTTTGAGGGTCCTTCTCACCTGAGGCCACCGACCCCAGAGTTACCCACAGGACCATATTACCTTCCACTGCACATTCTCCTGCATGAAAGAACTCCTGACAATGCTGCTAATCTCAGCTAGGCACAGCACCTTAGGTGACACCTATTTTCCTGTTCTGGCAGATCAGATGGTTGTGTGCTCAAACTACAACCATTTTCTCTCCTATTACTTTTTTGGTGCGGTTGAATATATATATATATGCTGAGACATCTGGGACCAGGAAAGAAGGAATCCTATTTGGGGATTTAGTTTGGTATTTTGTCAAATTGCTCCATTTAGCCGAAAGAGGAAGGTTTTCTTACTTTCTTACTCACTTGCTTTATGCTTAAAAAACCCAGCTATTTATTTAGGAAGTTTTAACAGGTTTACAAATCATCATTATGTAAAGATCAGAAACAAATGATAATCTTTACAACAGCTTTATTCTTTGCTTGTTTAGCATAACATCATGCAGTAATATCATCAAATCTCAGTTTAACAGGGTGTTAGAGTATTACTGAGTGAGCCTTTTAACACTGTCAAGAATGTGTTGTGCCTGAGAACTTCATTAAGTGGAGTAAAACTGCATATTGTACTTATATGTATCAAAGCAAACAGTACCAAACCTCAAATATTCAAAAGCAGGTATGCTTTTATTGAGACAAAAACACTTTGAGTATTGATAGGTAATCAACTTTCTATTTTCTGTAACAATCATTCCCCACACCCCTTTGATTAGGTGATACCTTTTATTTTGGACAATTTTTCCCCTATAAGAGACCATCAGTTGTCAATTGGGTACTACTAGATGTGATATTATTATATTAATCCTTCTTTCCTGTGATATGACAGTTTCCACAAAGCAGCCCAGGAAGCCCAAAGGGTCATTTTCTAAAAAAGACCCAGTAGTTTGTAATATTTGTATTCCACATGAGCTTCATTCCAATATTTTTTTACAGCTGGACATACCATATATGCATGCAATTTACTCCATCCCTCACGTCTCCCAAGATTTATCCTCATAATATCTATCTAATTTGATTGGTGCATTGAAACAATATCTTCAAAGAAAATGTCTTTTCTCATACTACAGG